GCAATAATATATGGCAATCATATACGTCAACAATATATGGCAACAATATATGGCAACAATATATGGCAATAATATATGGCCATAATATATGGCAATAATTCACGGAATATATTTTTCGTTACCGAAGTCAATGCAAATTTGCGGCATGCACAATGTAATAATAAAAGAGCTCTCTGCGAGCATTGAGTCAAACGCTCACCGATGATGATGATCCGATATTGATGATGTCCCGTTGCATCCAACTAGATCCACCAATGTCCGCCTATGTCCGTGCTGCCGCTCTCCATGTCGTGCGCAGCATTCATCTTGCAGCGTGTTCCACGTTGTTTGCTACACTTTTGCCACGCTTCCGCGAGGCCGTCGATACGCGGTATTAAAGCGGCGATATTTGCGTCAATTAACGAACGTTTTACGTCGACATCGGTGGAAACTTTTTACGCGCTGCGAAACAAACTCTATAAATTCGATCGGCGAGGAGCAAGAACCGTGTGAAAATTTATCGACTCGTCCAACGGATTTTTACGGCGTTTTTCGCGATCGCGCCTGAAAAGTCGCGAAAATGCGGGAGTATCGATATTTACGAGAATATTCGCGAATACATGCGAAGAAAGATTAGACAATTAGAAACCGGTCGCTCCGAGGGAGCACAAAGAGAGAGAGAGAGAGAGCGAAGCAAAGTTTTCAGGCATCATAGTTCCGTCACAACGAAGCTTATGTTCGCGATACTTTAGCGAAATGAGAATTTAAGCTTTCTTTGTTAGGAGCGCGGGTAAAAAAACGCATAAATTAATAATCGCGGTCGCGATATTCAAAGGCACGCGAGCGAGGATACCTCAAGCTCGGCGTGCGCTGGCGCAATTTTGCGCAATTTCTGGCGCATTATACGCTACTCGAGACAATAGGGATCGTATTGAATATTGCCAAATAATTTTACAGCCTGTTTTAAGGAAATAAAAGAAAAGTAGCCAACGGTATCGGCATTTATGCGTATGAATATATTTTACGCGGACAATTGAATATTGTCAAATAATTGTCGTTAAATAATTCAGCGGTCCGCTTGAAAAATGAAAATAAAGCAACTGATGACGGTATCGCGTTTGTAGACGAATATCTCTTATTCAAATGAATATCAAAAGAAAATCATTCGGTATTTTAAATCTCGTATATAATGCAGGCTATCGATCAAATAATCCCCTAATTGTTTCGAGCAATGTATTTTATTAAACGTCACAAACACACACATGCAAGAATCTATTTGTAATTTGCATTGACTCGAACGATATTTTTTTAATCCCACATCCGTCATGCAGAATATTGTTTCTCTTTTCACTTTGGACTCACCGAAACGACTTGCAGTCAGAGCCGGCCACGTTCCGCTTCAACTCTGTAACAAAAATTCACATTCGCTCATCAGATTTGACCAACAAGTGCGGGCGAGTAAAAGAGTAGTTTACCCTCTGCGATCGTAATTCAAATCGAGCCGAAAATAATATCCCAGCTCTAGATCGCCAACAGAGTCAAACAAAGGACTATAGTAAACTTGTAAACTTACCTTCAAGCCGACTCTGCTTGGCCCGAATCGGATCCTCCGATGCGGCATCCGCGTCCGCTGGATTGCTGTTGCTTTCCGTAACAACTGAAACAGAAAAATAATTTTCTCGGTTGATAACCTGCGGTAGAGTGAGAATATCTTTGATCGAGACGAATCGAAAATACGGAAGTATTTTGATATGGAATTTTTATCTTTATATTTTTGTTCCAACATTGAAAATTTAAATGAGACATGAAACTTTCGAGAGAGCTGATGAGGAACAAGTTGCAAAGGCAAAGATTGTAAAGAGTTGAACACAGATGTGTAAGAAACTTGTAAACTTTACCTTCCGGCCCATTCTGCTCTGCCCGAACCGGATCCTCCGGTGCGGCATCCGCGTCCGCCGTATTTGCTTCCCGCAACGTCTGGAACAAAAATTTAGCGTTCTTAGTTGGTAAGCTGAGGTAGAGAAAGAATGTTTGGTCGGGATGAGTGGAGAATATTCGTTACGATTTTTTTCTTCATTGACATTGAAAGTCTAGATAGGAGCTCTTGAAAGAGCTGACGAAAAAAAATGATAACAAGAAGCGGAGACAACAGTTGTGTGCTCTTGAAAATACTCTTTTACGAATGGACATTTAAATTTAGATCCCGTAACGAGAGTAAATACACTTGAAAGAAGCGCTGACCAAAAACAAAAAAGGTCGCAGTCTAAGAAGTGGTATGACGTTGAATATTCTATACAAGACCGATATACTCACACAGTTGGGAATTATTCAGAATGTTTGATTAAGAACATAATCAATTAGAGATCCGCGTTCATAGACCGTTATCCGTTTCTATCTGGATGAATATCTCTTGTATACAACAACGCAATAAATAGATAGATAGACAGAGATTGACGAGAGTAATTGCAGATTCATACCCAGCGAGAAATGACTCGTCGATCGACGTCGAAACGATGTCGAATCGACATCGATTTGATGATTTCGACGTCGATTCGACATCGTTTCGACGTCGATCGACGAATCATTTTTCGCAGGGTAAAGTCATGATTACTAATCGGATGATGACGGATTGTGAATGCCGAGCGCGAAATTCCGACTTTTTATTCCCGGAAAATTCATCAAACGTTCGCTCTCGTCGATCGGAGACCTCCCGCATAATAAATGATTTCACATACCTGGAAACGTGACGTACCGCTGCCGGCGTCCTGCTTCCCGGCTGCTGGAGTCCTCCGGACTTCACTCACTCACGCTTCTAATACCGATATTCGCGATTCGACCGTGCGGTTAATCAACGCGATGCCGATGCGATGCCGATTGAGTATCTCGAGGACTGACGAGATATATTTCTTTCACTTACACGAGACGGAAGTGACGAGCGCATCGCGCACGGCTGCTGCTGATGGAATGAGATCGAGTACGCGAGGCGCGCGAGTATTAATACGATACGAAGGGCAAAAAGTGTCGTCGCTCGCGAGCCGATCAACACAATCGGCGCGATGTAAACATTGCGGGCCTCGGCGGCGGTTGAAGCAAGAGAGACTTGCCCTTAGGCGTCTCTTCTTTTCTCGAAGGTTCCGGAACGACGAGGGGAATGCGAGGAGGCCTTTCAACTGTACGCGACATTGATGCACTCTATTGATTACTGAAAATAAAGAAAATTACTCTGTCGAAGCATCGGACATTTGTTAGCTTTATGTTAATTAAAGAGGAATATGTACGATTAGAAAATGTGTTAGCAACTAATTGTACAGAGTGTCAAAGTTGTTGTGACGCCGTTTTCGGAGAATAATTAAAGGTCCAGGTAGCGTTAAAGAGTGGAATTCATCCCATGTGAATTTTGTCTCGTTATTAAATGTTAGATTATCCGCTACGGACAATAACTTTTCTACTTTTCATCTAATATTCAATGATGATAAATAACATTTAATTGCATTTAATTGCATTCGTTTGGCTTTTTTTATTTCGAAAATAAAAAAATATATACCAGGGTGAGATTTCACCCATGACAACATCAACGTGATTTTTTCTGATGCTTTTTTTAAAAATTCAGATATTTCGTCGACTCGCGAGATATTTATAATCAGAGTCTCATCGCGTTAATTAACACGTGCTCCTCCGAGCGGATCGAATGCTCACCGACGGCCACTGTCAGTGCCCTGAGTGAATGTCCGGAGCGGACAGGATGCTGAATTGAGAAGCAGGACGAAGGGAACGGGACGCAGGCAACGATACATAATGCGTCTCCAGACCTGTCAAATTGTTTATTACAGAGGAGACTTTGATACGGGAACATGTATTCGAAGATTTAATATTTAATATATACTTTTATTTTTCCTGCTCCTCCCCCCTCCCCTACCCACGCTCTTTTTAGACCTCCGGGCATAGTCTGGCATAGAGATGGCAACTGTGGTTGCAGCACGGACATAAACCACCTGAAAGTGGATGTAACACGGACTTCCACCACAGATTTTACCACCGAGACTTGAAAGTGAATGTAGCATCGTAGTTCCCCTCTCAAAATAAATGTAGATGGCGACCTTTCCCAGTGCGGGAAGTCGGTGTCGCAGAAAATGCAGTGTTGGCCGCTCTCAGATTTCTCTCTGCTATTATACGTCGCTCAAAGCATTTATAACATTTAAAGAATCGTATTCTATATGATATAATAAAAATTAAAATAAAAATATATTTAGAGAGAGGAAAAGAGAATAAAGCCAGCGGCACACGGTGCTTATTTTCGTGCTGTATTGCTTGCTGGATGAAAATACTGCGTTCTGATTGGTGCATTTCCATCCATCTTCGGAAATGCGTTACGAGACACCACCATCCATAATGAATTGACGAAGTAGTACAACTCAACGGCTGGTAAAATGACCTTCTATTTTTCAGATAACAACTGAAAAAGTGGTTAAACGTCTTTTCATTTTCAAGTTTTTGCGATTTAACATCTTTTTATTCCTAAATGGAGCGATTCAATATATACATATTGAATTAAATACTAATTGAATTAAATTTACAAGATAAAAAATAATATATTTTTCTTGATAGTGGAAAATAGACAAAATTCAACGAGCCGTAACTCTAGCAAAAGTAATGATAATGAAATGGTTCGAAAAGCATTTTGAAACTTGAAGATTTTAACTTTGACAAACTTCACAAGAAATCTTGGCATTTGATGAAAAGTTGATTTATTCTTACGTAACTACATAAAAGAATTAATTGTATTTGATAATATAACTTAAAATTAAAAACTGTAAGACATAAATCGCTTTTCGTATCATCTTATCATTATTTTTATCGAAGCTTACAACCAATAGAATTCTGTCTACTTTTTGGAAATGAAGAAACAATGAAACTTCAATTGTTGAATTTATTTATAAGAATTAGTCGAATTAAAAGATATCAGTAAAATAATTCACTTTTCATTGAGAAAATATATCACACTTTGATTCATTGCAGTGAACTTTCGGAGATTTGTCGATCTACGCGTTGCGCCCTCCATGACTAATAATAACCAAGTCGACTTAACCCAGTCAGGCAGAGAGGGTAGAGACACGGTGTGTGATACTCGATTCTGCAGCGTGAAAAATGGCATGGTTGTGCGCCCGTACTGTGCTCCAAACATGTCGACGACCGATTTCCTACAGTCTCGTGTGTTATGAGAAACAATGTAAATACTTTTCGTAAACAGTATCATGTCCATTTCTCGTCTGCTTTCAATGATTTTGCATAGTCCTATTACGTAATATTTTCCATTGGTCTTGCTGATTTTGACTGCAGGCCACAGTCGACGTCTTGGCTAACAGAAAAAATACCTGTCATACAAGTATCTCTTTCTGCTTGACAGTTGCCGATCCGTTGGATCATGCCACTGGTTTGGAGAAGAAGGAGATGCTCGCCCGTTTAGCCGGCAACGATGTAAGTGGCTCGTTTTCCGTTTGTCTTATTAGTCGAAGAATTCGTTTGCAAGGAGATACACCTGTAATGTGTTAATGACATAATTCACATTAACATATTGCAACGTACTTGTACTTTTGGACCATATTATATATGGCATTATAAGAGATTATTAGCTATAATAATTTCTTATAATGAAGTCGATAAGATTTTAAGTATCAAGGATAAGAAAGCAATATTATGTGAACAATGTGTTTTTATTTTAATTTCTAAGTTTATATAATTTGTATATTTTAAGTTGGTGTTATTTTAAAAAGTATCGATAAGAAAGCACCAATAGCTTCACTTAACTTTTGTTAAAGCAAGACAAGATATTTCTTATTAAACTTTGTAGGATCCCTATAACATGAGTATAAAGCGAAGACCACATAGCACGAAGGAGAATCCCAACATAGTTTACAGCTCATTTGAGAGTCGTATAATGGGTTGTATTTGCGACGAGGACGCGCTGCATGTTAACTGGATGTGGCTGCATCAAGGCCCACCGCGTCGCTGTGAATGTGGCCACTGGTTTAAGCTGGTCGAGAAGGCGCCTATATAATATACTTATGAATGAGATAGTGTACTGATTTCAACATAGAATTAATGTTACATTAGACTGTAATTATTATTTTCACTTATCACCATACTCTCCTTGTACCCTGTCCAATAAATAAATGGATTGTCCGTTATACGGAAGTTGCAGGAATAAATGATAATTAAAGAAATTTTCATTGTTAACTATATTGTAAATAATGCGTATTTTGTTAACTAGTTCCAATCCTAACGAGTTTCTCATTTTATTGAAATCAGATTCACATTTTCCGAGATCATAGATATATTTAATTGTTAAATTCTAATTTCTACATTAAAAATACTGTTGTTATAGACTTGTTATAGATTAAATATCATTTTATTAAATTATTTGATATTCTGTTTTGTTATCAAATGAGGTTCATGCAACTGAATTATATAGTTAAAAAGTCTTAGGATATATTTATTGAAGCGTTATTTAGTATAATTTACAATAGATAAATGTACATATATTATTGTACATTTCCAACTCGTTCCATTTTAAATCTGCTCATTACTTTTCTATTGTTTTTCTTTTCTACTATATTGTTTAAAGTTGTAGTCGCTTTACTCTCCTGAATATCTTTGATTACCTACAAAATGTATTTCAGTAATGGTTGTACACAATCATTTATTAGCATAATATATTACATTGATATCATCATTTGTACTCACAGAACTATATGCAGAAGGTTTGATACTATAACATTCGTTATCTGTATCTGTACTGCTGTCTTCTTGTAAAGGAGGCACTATTTGATTAGGTAACATATCATTCGGAGATCTCTTTAAAATAGGCTTTATAGGTGTGCTAAATATTTTATAAATGTCTGCTGGACTCTGAATTTCTGTATTACTTGATTCAGATATATTCGGGGTATGGGACGAATGTGAAAACTCAATTTTGTCAACATCATCGTTTTCATCACTATAACTGTTATCTTGTTCCACAGAACTGAGTACCTCAAATATTGATGATTCATCATCTACATTATCTTGATCGCACGGTTCCACAAAAGAAACTCTTTTCTTTTGTTCTACATTTGCGGTTTCAGATATATCTCCCGATTCAGTCGAGGAATTTTCCTTTGGTTCCTCTTGAATAAAATTTACAATGTGATTGGATTGTTCGTTTTCTGCAGAATTTATATTAAGTGTTTCATCCTGAGTCGTGTCACTAGAGCTCGGTACGTCTGACGTATCATTCGTGACTTTATTAGCTTGAATATATTTGTATTTTTCAGGCTGCTCTTGGAGCATATATATTTTAATTTGTTCAGAATCAAACGAATCGTCTTCCTTCTCAGACTCATCACAAACTTTGCCTTTTTCTAAATCATCACCATAAAATCTTCTTCTTTCCTCTTCCAAACTAGAAACATATTTAGCATTAAAATTACAAATTACAATTTTAACTGTTAGTAAAAATAGATACTAAAATAAATAACCTGTTTGTTTTATCTTCTAGTCCCTCTTCCAATTCCAGCTTATCAAGTCTTTTAAAAAGATCTTCTCCAGTATATATGCTCCTGTTTATATTTATATTAAGTGTTTCATTCTGAGTTGTGTCACTAGAGCTCGATACGTCTGATATATCATTCGTGACTTTATCAGCTTGAATATATTTATATTTTTCAGGCTGCTCTTGAAGCATATCTACTATAATTTGTTCAAAATCAGAAGAATCTTCGTCCTTCTCAGACTCATCATAAACTTCGCCTTCTTCTAAATCATCACCATAAAATCTTCTTCTTTCCTCTTCCAATCTAGAAACATATTTTAACATTAAAATTACAAATAAATTACAATTTTAACTGTTAGTGAAAATAGATACAAAAATAAATAACCTGTTCATTTCATCTTCTAGTTCCTCTTCCAATTCCAGCTCATCAAGTCTTTTAAAAAGATCTTCTTCAGTACGTATGCTCTCTCTAGTCTCTTCTTTTTCTTTCAATTTTACCAATTTCTGACGATATTCCTTCTCACGCTGTCTATGTTGTACTATAAATAACCGCAATTTTAGTATCTTATTTTGCTAAAAAAGGTATTTGCACTGAGAGAATATATATTCTTTTACTTCTCCATTCATCAAGTTTGTCCTCATCCCAATGTTCAAAGACATCTTTCTTATCCTGCTCATCAAAGAGTTCTTCTGTCAATAAAATTTGTCTTGTCTCATATAAATTTCTCTCATCTTCTAAACGTTTCAATATATCTTCAGCAACTAAAATATAAACATGTATAGTTGTAATATTTAATATAAAACTATTGACAATATATATTTATATATGTATATTATTTATACATGATATTCTTCTGTTGCATAATGCAATCGCTTGTGATGCACTATATTTTACAAAGTAGCCATCTCCTAGACAAGCTAAAACTTCATTGGTATGAATCAATTTTCCTTTCATGAATGCTAGCCTGCTGATCGGTACCATGCAATTCTCCGAAACAGACAATGGAAATTCTTGAAGGCCTTCTATTACCTTCTTATGTCTGTTCTTGAATTCAGTCCATGTTTTTATTTCTTTCTTATTCTGTTCAATTTTCTGCAATATATATTAACTTTTGGTTATTATAATGTAAATACATGATGCAACAGAATAATGCAAACAAAGGCAGTAGAAATATACAAATTAATCTATAAAATCAAATATACTTCTTTAAGAATATTGTTTAGTAGTTGATGCTTCATAGTTGATATCTCTTGATAGTTTTGAATTTGTCCAATTTCAGATTTTATTTCTGCGTCTTCTGTATTATCCATTTTATCTGTTTTACAAAAATTTTACAGAAAGTTTTACAAAAAGTTATACAAAAAATTAAATATTTTTATAATCCAAGCAAAAAATTAGACATCATAGTACTCGAAAGAAAGATCCTATTCCTAAAAGTATGTGCAGTGAAATGTTTGAGGTTCGTTTCGAAAAGTTGTGAGACGAGAGCGCTTTACACACATGCGCGGCGTGGTGGAAATGGTGAGGAAACGTAAACGGACCGTCGTGAGTTAGCAGACAAATTGAAGATTTTCTAATTTTTTTTTTGTATCATTTGGGAATCATTTAGGGAAGTTTAGGAACATAGTCTCATAGTTTGGGAAATAATAGTTTATTAGTAATTAATAAAAATTAATTAAGCATTAAGTTAGCAGACATAATAAAAGAAAAATGTTTTTTAATTTTTAATTAACGTAAAATTATTTAGGAAACACGTCTGTAATATTTTTAACGTTTGGGAAATAATACGTTTTTATAATAATTGAAAACAAAGATAAAGCTAGCGGCACACGTGCTGGTTTTCGTGCTAGATTGCTTCCTGGATGAAAATACTGCATTCTGATTGGTGTATTTCCATCCATCTTCAGAAATGTACCAATCAGAACACAATATTTTCATCCAGCAAGCAATTCAGCACGAAAACCAGCACCGTGTGCCGCTGGCTTTAACGTTCAACCAAATATTTAATTACTTACCTAAGAATGCTTATCTTCACCTTAAAAAGAAAGTCTTTTTTGACATTAAATATTTAAGCTGTGCATATAAGAATGGATCGAATAGGTTATTTCTCCCTGTGTCTTATCATGCAAGTATTCATTGTTTTGTATATTTTGACTAGTACATATATTTTATGCTTATCAACAGATTTAGCTAGTTGATTTTTAATTCACGATAACATCAAATGTAATGTTTATATTCATAAATTTAACAAATTTTACATGTATAGGATACAAATGTTGATATATCAGGTGTAGTAAAAAGAAATCCATTATTTTTCCAATAGATGGCTTTAGTTATCTGTATCCGCGTTGTATAAGTCCGATCGGATTCCACTAGATGGCGTTAGAAAGATGAGATTTGTGGGGACTTTGAGCTCCCCAAAGCGCATGCATCCGTTTTCCGTGCGGCGCTATAGAGCGCGCGCAAGTGTCACTCGTGCAGGGAAAAAGAGCAACGATTTAGTAACCGTTGGAAGCGCTCACAGAGCTCACGGATATACGATCGCTAGTTCATAGCTTGATCATTCTTCCATTGTCGTGTGTGACACCGCGATTCTTACACGCGGTCGCGAGTGTGCGAGAGCAAGCAGGAGCATCGGCTCCGTTCGGCCCACACACACATACATACGAGTCCCGCTGTGACTCGTATGTCGTGCGAGCGTAAAAATTGTCTTTTGTATCTTCGAGGCACATAAGCCGTACCTGTGATTCACGTGCTCTGCAACTGGCAGGCACGTGCGCAATAAAGAGACCAAAGAAGAAGAACGCCTAGGTTAATTTAGGAACCTACCCTCCACTTGCAATCGGCGAGAGAGCAAGAGGACACAAAAACCCTAAAGATTTCGTACTAAAAAAACTTTTCTGACAGTTTTGTGATTAGTTGACTCAGTTTTGTTTGAGCGCGCGTCAAAGATGGACACTAGCAAAGAGAAAATACGCAATATTTTACAGTTTTTCTTCGATAAAGGCGAAAACGCAAGCCAGGCGGCTGAAAATGTGAATAGTATTTATGGTCCTGATACTGTAACAGCCAATCACGCGCAATTTTGGTTTCGTCGATTCCGTTCCGGTAATTTCGATGTCAAAGATGCACCACGCACTGAAAGGCCAATTGTCGAAAATATCGATAAAATCATGGACATTGTCGAGTCCGACCGTCATGTAAGCACTGTTTCGATTGCCCAAGAGCTAAAGATTGCACAAAAAACCGTTTGGAACCATTTGAATAAGGCTGGATACAAAAAGAAGCTCGATGTATGGGTGCCACACGAGTTAATGCAAAAAAACCTCATGGACCGAATTTCCATCTGCGAATCGCTGCTGAATCGCAACAAAATCGACCCATTTCTGAAGCGGTTGGTCACTGGTGATGAAAAGTGGATCACTTACGACAACGTCAAGCGAAAACAATCGAATCACGGTGAGCCGGTGGAAACGGTGGCCAAGCCAGGATTGACGGCCAGGAAGGTTTTGCTGTGTGTTTGGTGGGATTGGCAGGGAATTATCTACTATGAGCTGCTCCCCTACGGCAAAACTCTTAACTCGGAACTGTACTGTCAACAATTGGACCGTCTGAAGGAAGCAATCGCCCAGAAGCGGCCAGCTTTGGCCAATAGGAGAGGAATTGTGTTCCATCAGGACAACGTCAGGCCACACACATCGATAGTGACTCGCCAGAAGCTCCGGGAACTTGGTTGGGAGGTTCTTATGCATCCACCTTATAGTCCGGACCTGGCACCAAGTGATTACCATCTGTTCCTGTCCATGGCGAACAATTTTGCTGGTGAAAAATTTGCTTCAAGAGAGGCTTGTGAAAATCGACTGTCTCAATTTTTTGCCAATAGGGACGAGGGCTTCTATGAGAGAGGCATAATGAAATTACCTTCAAAATGGCAACAAGTTATCGAACAAAATGGCGCATATTTGACCTAAATCGGATCATTCTAACTATGGTAATTAAAGCCTTCAATTTCATGCAAAAATAATGGATTTCTTTTTACTACACCTGATATTTGGTAAGAAAAGCCCCTTGCACAATGCCAGGCAACAAGCAATAAGAATAAAAATAGACCAATCACAATCGATTATTACAAGAATAATCTATTGTGATTGGTCTATTTTTATTCTTATTGCCTGTTGCCGGGCATTGTGCAAGGGGCTTAAGTGTCGCTGCAACACTATATATTTTTCCAGGCTTTTAGAACGGTGCTTGTTTGTGTGCTGGATTGCTTGCTGGATGAAAATATTGCGTTCTGATTTGTGCATTTCCATCCATCTTCGGAAATGTACCACATGTAATCTTTGTTTTCGATTATTATAAAAACTTATTATTTCCCAAACGTTAAAAACATTACAGACGTGTTTCGCAAATAATTTTACGTTAATTAAAAATTAAAAAACATTTTTCTTTTATTATGTCTGCTAACTTAACGCTTAATTAATTTTTATTAATTACTAATAAACTATTATTTCCCAAACTATGAGACTATGTTCCTAAACTTCCCTAAATAATTCCCAAATGATACAAAAAAAAATTAGAAAATCTTCAATTTGTCTGCTAATTTCACGACGGTCGTAAACGGATTAGGAACGGACGATAGATTTGTTCGTTTTAAAATGTTCTTTTTCGAAGAATTGAACTAGTGCAATAACTTGGAGTGAAATAGATATTTTCTTTTATTTTAACTTGCACTTGTAAGAAACGGACGTTAGATGCCGGCACCAGCCAGGTCCGTGTGGAGCCACTGAAACGGAATACTGAAGCCCTGAACACAATGCCAGGCAACAGGCAATAAGAATAAAAATAGACCAATCACAATAGATTATTCTTGTAATAGTCGATTGTGATTGGTCTATTTTTATTCTTATTGCCTGTTGCTTGGCATTGTGTTTAGGGCTTTACGCACAAGCGCATCCATCAAGGAGGGGACTATAAAATAGTCGCCGAAGGATATTAACGAGAGCTCGGTAGAAATCGTGAGAGATAGAGAGTCGAAATAGTCGAGTTAGTATTATACAGTCTGTAAAGTAAGAGCGTGTACGGCATAAATGGTAGTTGGCTTTAAATATCGTCCTAGTTTTTTTGTGAGCCGATAGATGAAATCTTTGTCGTGAATGCTTTGTCACAAAAGATTCAGTTGGCGTCGAACTCTAACCTGAGAAACACATTAACCGCCATGAGTGCCGCATACGCATCGCGCTACGAGGCTGTGTTCCTTTGTTCCCACCCCAAAGGACCAAACATGTCATATGCAGTAGCTGCTAAATACATGGGAAAGTCAAAATCGTTCGTCGCTAAGTGGGTTCAGCAATATAAGAAAATCAAAAATGTCGATGACTTGCCAGAACGTGGCTCGATAGGCAAAGTGACGCCGAATATGGAAAAAGAAATTGTGAATTTGTTTAAGCGGAACCCGACCTTAACATTGCGACAAGGAGCAGCAAAATTAAAACAGAAGGGTATAGAAGTATCACATACAACTATTCGAACCTATCTCCTTGCGCATAATCTCAAAAATCGAAGCACAATGAAGAAACCACTGTTAGGCAAGAAACATGTGACGAAAAGACTCGCTTAGGTAAAGGAGAATTTGGACCGAGATTGGAGCAACGTGATCTTTACGGACGAAGCTTCTGTTTGAGGATATACTGCCATCCGACGTTCCTGGTCAACCTTGACCAATAGATTAATACAAAGGACTGTTAAACACCCTGTAAAAGTTCATCTTTGGGGCTGCTTTTCGAAACACGGGTTTTGGAGCATTACATCTGTTTACATACAATTTAAATGCTCCGAAAATGCTTAAAATTTATGAGAAGTGTTTGTTGCCGACTGCTGAACGATGCTTCATAAACAAAAACGAGGACTGGATCTTACAGGAAGACAACGACCCAAAACACCGGAGCAAGCTTTGCACCAAGTGGAAAGAGCAGTCTGGCATCGTCACACTTGATCGGCCATCGCAGTCGCCAGATGCAAATCCCATTGAAGATGTGTGGGCATATCTCAAGCATAAGCTTCGAGGAAAAAGAGTGTGCACTTTGAAGCAGCTGACACGAGAAATTCGTCTCATTTGGAGGTTTTTACCAAACGAATACGCAGTCAACTTAGTGGAAAGTATGCCTCGAAGATGCCAGGCAATTATCAATGCCGGTGGTAACTGGACTCATTATTAATGGTATAGCATTTTTCTTCTCATGGAATACAACAAATCCATATACTTAAAAATCATTAAAAATAAATTTTTCTATACATCCGTAACCTGGACACACTCTTATTTTACAGACTGTAGCCGACTATCATGTAGATTGATGTAAGAGTAAGGAAGGGAATTGTATTTTTATATATATATTTCTGTGCTAAGCATATAAAATTGAGTATCTTTATTTAAGCATAGAAACCTTAACATTCTAACATTCGTATACTTTACCGAAGTGGGTGAGGTTGTTCATTTTATAAAAAGTATAATACATTACTTTTATGGAAATCTCGCACACTAGTTCAAAAGTTCTTCGAAAAAGAATAGACCTCAGATTCGAACACATTTCGAGTAGAACACAAATTTGTAACGAATCGGTTTGAATCTCTCTCGGGTGATTCGAACCTGTCCGTTGAAAAAAAAGTTTCGAAGTGAGAATTTTTATTTTGCTAATTCTCTTTTGTAAATTAAAACTTCCAGTAAAATGTTTTTTATTATATCATACATATTACTATAATAATATAAAGTCAATAAATCTTATCAGATAACTTATAATAGTATATTTCGACATATCGTACGACATAAAAAATACATATCAAAATTTGTCGATTAATTGTAAGATGTGTTGTTGTTCTGCCTCTTTCCATTCTGTGTCACCAGCATCTCCCAAGTTACCGGCGTATTCTAAGAAACATTATGTATATATATCGATAAATATATTATTTTAATAAGGACTCAAAAAATAAATATATTTAATCTACCTCTCATAATATGTCGAATTGTTTTAAGAGACGCTCGTCTCTGTGCTAAAATTCTCGTTACTCGTTGCTTAACAGCAGGTGGACAACCAGTGCAAGCCTCTAGAAGTACATAATCTACTAATTGCAATATGAATAATCCGCCATCTAATCTTCTCAAGTAGGATTCCTCTTCATCTTCGTCCTCCTGTAATAGAAGTATATAAGAAAGAATAGAGATCTTCCTAAATTTTTTTTTTAAATAAGAGTTTTTTGACCATTTATTTACCTTTCCGTTCTTTTCTACTTCCTCTACTTTTTCAAGATATTTAAAATGTAATTCCATCAATCGATCGACTTTCTCGTAATCATTTTCTGTAAATTTACTAAGTAGTCTTTGACGCTGTTGACCTTTGCAGTTTCTCAACATGCTTGCTATGATCGAAACTACGTGTTCTAAAATTATTACTTCATTAATATAATCATCTAGTTTGATATTCCACAATTCCTATATTCTACAATTTATTTAAATACCTTCGTGCTCTTCTGCAGTAAGCATTTTTTTCCTGTTTTTTGTTGGTGTTTTCATAAATAGCGGAAATATAGTTCGCAATCCGAGAATATCTACAAATTTACTGCAATTGTCTTTTCCATCTGGACCGTTCATAGCATAATCTAATACCTGAAATTAATCATAAATTATCTAAATCAATTATCACGCATACCGTGTATAAGCTTACCTTTAGAGATCCATTTCGCGACATTTTTTTTTCTCGTAACATTAAATTCATGAGTTGAAGACCTTCGCCACGCAGAAACCTGTCGCGATTTACAGTGGCCATTAAACTCGAGCACAAAACGTTAAATAAATTTTCCATCATTTCCTGTTCCTCGGCAGTTTGCGGGTCGTGCCTTTTATAATACTGCAAACAATCGATTTTGAGATGTTTAAAATCGGTAAAATCCTATATAGAAATTTACAAGTTTATAAGAGGGTATATGTACGTACAGCTAATTGTTGCAACAAAACGTCAATTCCATCCAAGTCGCCAAGAAGAAGTCTATTTTCTGGTGTATGCTGTAAAAGTATAGACAATAGTTCACTGGCATACAGTTTATTTGCATCAAATGGTGTTTTTGTCTTAATTCGACGTAGTAACCATTGCATTAGACCTTGTTTGCCTGCGTCCGTGCACAAATCTGGTCTAAATTCGAGGAGGTTTTCGAAAATAGCTATAAAAAATCAATATCATCGTCAAGTTATTTTAATAAAATATATCATATTATTATATCATTTATAAGAATAAAGTGATAAATGATATTCACGTGTGTATCAAGTCATGTGTATATTAATTACCAAGTGTATTATAAACACCGTCACTCTCTTCTTTTACCATTTCATCGAGTCTCTCAAGGTTCTGCACCAAAAGAGCACAAACTTGCTGTTCCAATAAAGCATCAATGAGAGTATCCGCACCTTCTTGACTCTCATGTAATATATCAACATCAGTCAGTTCTTGAAGAAGATCTACCACACCAACAGCTATGTCTGTATTTTCATGAGATAATAATTCAAGCAGAGAAGGTACAGCACCTAATTCTACCATTAGTTGATACAGATCTGGATTGGCCGCTATAATATGAAGTTCTTGGAGAGTTTCATGCAGTTCAACTTCAGATTCCATAAACCTGTAAACATTCAAAGAAAATGAGATTGTACATTAAGATTTTAATCTGAGAATATCAGTTTCAGTATATCTATACAGTATATCTAGATACTTCTCTGGTTGATCTGGAAACTTGACTCTCATTTC